CCTGCAGAATTCGATTTTCTGACTGGTGTGACTGTGGATGGAAGATTGTTGTGCTGGTGCTTTCTCACTAAAGCCAGTGGACTTAATCACAACAGCAGGACTGCTTCCCTGCAGAGCGTCAATGACTGTTCCCTATGATCACGCGGCAGGACCTCGGCTGGCCAAGGAGATGCCTGAGCTAAAAGGCCGATGCCATGGTAACGTCCTCTGATGCTCACAGTGCTGGCTCACCTCTGAACTCTGTTCCCAGGCCGGGACAAGGCCTGACAGACGAGACTCAATTAAGTGCATTCTTTCACAAGGGGAGATTTAGGTAGGTTTTATAGACCTCTCCTCTATGTGGAAAAAAGAACTACACACTGAAGAACTACATTAAGTGAGTGGTAATAAAATGGATGATTTATTCAAGCACTTACAAACACAATCATAAAAGCCTTTTTTGTGGTTGATGCGTCTCCTACTCATTTTGTCTGTGCTGAGGCACAGATAATAATTATAATTACAATAATTACAATAATAGTGAATTCAATTATCATTAAATTAAACTGAGATTATTATTTTTACCATAATTGAGCAACCCTATTCAGTTGGGTGACAATATACTCAAAACACTTGTTTTCTATTGAGAGTCAGACACAACATTTACTTGCATCGAAGGTTGCCAGAAAATATTTAGTTAATAACTTTGTGAATGTCTTTTGCATTCTTATGGTCTATGCCTCACAGTTCTCACAGACTCTAATAAACTGAGAATAGACTCTAAATTAACCTATAATTGGACAAAAGAGCTTGAGTTACATAGGATACTCAAAGACCAGTTTGGTGTGTGACAACTGATGAATGGAAACAATCTTTCTCACATTAACATGAAAATCTTCCTGGTACTTTGCCTGTAGGTCCAGTAACACACAACAGGGCACATGGGCCTCTGCCTCCTCACTCTCCTCTTCAGAATAGCCTCTATGGTTACATTTTCCTTCTGCTCCTGATTAAGTACATATCAAATATTCATGGCTGAGGGAACATGTAACAGTGACTTTTAGGAGCCTGCTGACTGCCTAATATTTTCAGAGCATATGGGATACTATGACTGCAGAAAGGAGGTATTTCTCAAACCTCAGTCAGAGTACTTCAGTCCAACTCAGCCAATGTTCCACTTGTAATGGTTGTGGGTGGGGCCAGAATAAATGCTCCTTGTGTGTATTTGTGTGGAATATGAGGGTCTGACAGTTTAGCAGTAGGTACACAAGACATAGAAACCACTGAAGTAAATCACAATGGAAAGTTATGCAACTGTTTAGCAGCTGTTAAATGACTACAAGTATGTTTCCTCAAATAGAACATTATCTAAAAAGAGGTAGTTATGATGTAAACAAATCCAGAGTACATTATGTATGACTGTCTCTTAACAATCTCAGGCTTTTGTGTTTTTGTATTGCACAATACAACATTTACATTTCACAGATGAATGCAGAGTCGCACAAATTTACACAGCAGAAGGGGACATAGGAGAAAGTAATGCGTAAATGATTTAAAAACAGGAAAAACAAAACAAGCCAAATCATGAAATATTGACAGTAACAACATTCTAATGAGTACTCTGAGATGGGCCCCTCTTTCTCTCCCCCTCTCTGTCTCACTCCCTTCTTTCTCTCTCTCTCTCTCTCACTATCTTTCTTTCTCTCTGTCTGGTTGAGACTCTCGGTGACTCATGTCTAGCTGCAGTTATGTCTCATTCTGCATAGTCACACACTCCACAAACACTATTTACTACCAGGTCACCAGCATGTGTTTTTGCAAGCTCATTTGAGCAAAGATGTCTGTATTCTCGGACTCATTAAACTGCCCCGCACTGTTGTTGAATAAGAGCGCAGTTGTAGCCACATTCTGGTAGGTGCTATCTTAAATGATGGTAGTATATTCTCACATAAGGGTGAATGCAGTGGCGTATAGGTCCCAGCTGAGACATAGTACCAGGCTGTGAAAGGGCACTCAGGAGCCCATAGTAAATGCACACTCAGCACGCCTTTTCTTATACAACACTATCACTATGGTAACAGACCACAAATTTATGCTGTCTACTGCATACTGCTAGCACTACTCCGCTAACTGCACAATTCTCCAAACTATAAAGTAAAGACAAGACACATCTACCAAGGCTATAAGTATTTTTAAACTAAGACCAAATTCAGGGATGATTTAGACCTCGTATTTATGGGACCTTGGGCATACTCAGCAGTTACACAATTGACAGACAACATAATTTTGCGCTAGTGTTGTTATGATACATAAACTTTTAACTCAGTTTTGTTACAAAGGAAAACACTGATACTAAAAAAAGTCTTTGTAGAATTGATTGCAATGTTCAAGGCAAGATAATAGTTTCTTTATGTAGATGCTGTCTTTGTGATACTGAATCTGATATGGATTAAGATGTATTGGTTTTTAGTACAGTATGGAAACAAAATGCAATGGGGAGTGGAGATTCCATGCCGGTGAAAGGGAGGACTGGGGCGCGATGACCGTAGTTTTGCAAGGATTCACGTAGTTCAGAGGGACGTAGTCAAGACAGGGAGCAATTGTTGTCAAGGCGGCTGCCCTAACTATGAAGCGCAGTGGGAAACACTGCCACCCCAATCACAGACAGGTTCCCTCACGAACATTAAAAAGGCCGGAATATGTAAACACACATAAATTGCGTAAATTCACTCATGCACAGCGTTGCACCAAACCGAACATCATCAACAACCGGCACGAATACATGTACCGTTACACCCCTAATTAAGTTTATTCAAAAACTATTCTGAAAAATTTGTCCTATAGATGAAGAATTCTCAGTACTTGTAAGTGCTCAAATTATTATCTAGGTTTGAAAGTAGTTTTAGTACAAGTTAAATCATCATCTGTTTGTTTCTATGGATGTGTCATATTCAACAGTCTGACATTAAACAGCTCTACCTTACATTTATTCAATTACAAATGGTTTTATAGGTCAAAAATACATAGAAAAACAAATGGGGTTGCCTCTCCACAGATCTGACCCGTAACTTGGTCCATGAAGACAGAAAGGTTTATTACCATACTGTGAAACATTCCAGACAAAGCAATAACATCTCCACAAAGAAAAGCATTTGAGGGACCCTCCACCAGAAAAGTTACAATGCACTTGTCTTGGTATTTTTTAACATACAAAATAACAAACCAAAAAACTTTAATGTAGATCTATAATAAATAATGCATATACAGGATAGACATTGGGGTAAAAATTCTGCAAAATTACCATGCAAAATTTTTCCTGGACAAAAAAGGGAGACTAAAAAAACATGATTGTGATCCTGAGAAGCAAAGATTTCTCGCTACGCCGCCATGATGCCAGTGTACTCCTCTCAGGGCAGAACCGCGAATGCTCTGACAAACCTCCCCGTTCCCCTCTCATGTGTGTCTGCCCCAGAACGCCTGAGAAATGACAGATTTTCCCTTCACATTTTTCTGCACAATCATACTGTATGTAACCACTGCTTTTTCCATGGTTTTCAGTCTGACGTGTGTGTGAGAAAGAGCTCGACAAACTCCCATCAAAACACACCACTGAACTCTGTTTTTTCTCACTAAGGCAGCTGCAAGAGACTTAAAAACAAAGGAATGAAATGCTGACCTTATAGAGAGCCATGAGGTAAGTGTGGGTAATTGGAGTAATGTTCATTTTTGGCCTTGTTTATTTACAGAATAAAAAAGCACAATTATAATTCAAAGCCCTAACTAAAAATGATAGGAGCTGAAACAGATCTGATCTATTTCAGTAATAGGGTAAAGTTTCGGTTCTCTGATTCTACAAAGTGACAATGTCATACTCCCACATGAGGGCAAGAGATAGTTTTTCATATTTCTTAAGATTTTAGAGAAAATTTTAAAGAAAATATTTTAAAATACTAAACATTTTTAATGACTATCCCTAAAAATTATTGCAACAAAAATATGCATTTTCACAATATTTATTTGAGCTGTCCCTCATCTGTATTAAATATTATTGAGCTATAGAATGTCATGAATTATGAAGTATATTTAATCTCTGAAGCAAAATGTGGTCAGGTCAAAACAAAAAATTTGTTTCAGTTTTTCAGTGCTCTCTCTCTTTTTTCCATCTTACAATAAAATGGCTTTTCCTACTGTACGAAGGATATTTGATCCCCCTATAGTGACAAACTACTGTTCTACTGCAGTCCAACACAGGCTACTAAATGCAACAAGAGTGGTTCTCCTAAACTTCACCTATTTATCCTGTCAGCAGTTTTCAGCAGGGATAAACACGCCACAGTTCCACTCACTTAGCTCCAGCTTTTCCAGGTCAATCACACGAGTTCATTTCCTTCACCCCCGACTCAAAAAAAGCCCCCGCTGAGCATCAAACCAGCCTTTTATCCTGTATTTATGTTGCTGCAATCTCTACTGAACCTTTCAACTGCAGCCATAACGGGTCTCCTGTGCCACGGGGGGAAGTGGAGCAGATATTGACAGAGCTAAGGTAACGCTAGGACACACTACTGCTTTTTCTTATTTTCGCCTCAAGATAATTATAGTTTTCTGACCATATTGTGGAGACTGGCACTCAGACAGCTAAAATAGCCTGAGCACTAGGGGATGGATGTCCTTATCTGTGCACTGGCCTGCGTCAATGTTATTTCATTAAAATGAGCTGTAGCCGTCAAGGCAGATTCTGCATATTTTAAGTGCAAAACCATTCCTGGCATCACCAAAATTATAATGTTCAGTGAATGCGACAATGCAATTAGGTCGACATTTTCGCTACATATTTTGTTGTCTGGGAGTTACGCTGACAGTTCAACATAAATCATCTTGCAGAGTATTCTGAGAAGAGCCACTTTATGGGATTGGAAGCAGGGCAGAGAATTACTTCGAAGTTTCCAAGACAGTTTTCAACAAAGAAGTTTCACTCATAGGATTAAATGAATGCGTATGTTGTTGTATTTGTTTGGATGTACCTCAGCAGCTGGGATGCCTTCAGGAGGTCGACACTGCAGCAGGACTTCCTGTTCGAGGGACACTTCTTTACCCAGAGGCTCTTGGTCAAATGTTTTTCTTAAATCTGTAAAGAAGAGAACACATATAATACAGCGTTAGTGGTAGTGACACATCTGACAATTTCATTTGCAGAAGTTACCACAAAACTATTACTATGAATGTAAAAAATGCCAAAACAGGATTTTTGTGCTGTGCTCAATTCAAGGCTCTGTGTTTCATCCAACTTAAAAAAAAAAAAAAAAAAAAAAAGGAAAATGAGGAAAAAAATCGGAAACACAACATAATTTGTTGTCCCTGAAAAAATAGAGTATATTTTATAAAATATGATTCATATATCTGCCTTGGTACCAAAGATTATTTTGTTATAACAACTTGCCAGAGTAAATCAAGTAACACAGTATAAGCCAAAAATTGCTTGTGTAAATAATTTGAGAAAAAGTATCTTTTCCACCTCAAAAGATTAAAGTTATAATGACAAATGTAATGACTTATTATCAGCACAATACATCTGTGAAGAATGGCTGAAGAAGAGTGAAGAAAAAAATCTCACTTCTATTTATGGGCTGGCTCATCTCTCTCCTCACATTCAGCAAAGTGATAAATTGCTAGGAGAAGATAGGAGGCAGATAGGACGAGAGGGATCACTCTGAGTCCAATGAAAAACCAATATTTTTGTGGAGTGAGCCTGATGGAGTGGTGCTGGGCACAAATAGTGGCGCTGACAAGGCAGGATTACTCTACACTGTCATGCTACACTGCAACCAAAGCCCCTCCAAAATATACCATCACCTGATGCTTAAGACGGCCGCTGACACAACAACAAAGATAGAGAGAAGAGGTCAGGGCTCAGCAAAGTTTTATAGTGAAGTGCATCCAATAATGAGAACTATATTGGGCTTTCTTATCTGAGAGTGAAAGAAAGATGAACAAGAATGTGGTGAGCAGGGCTGTGCGGATGAGATGCAACACCAGTACTAGGGGAGAGACAGAACGCAGAGTAGGAGGTAGCAGAGCTTAGGATGCTGAGAGACAGAAGGATATGAGCTGTGAAAGGGTTAAATGGGTCATACATGGATGCAGTTAAATGACAACATGAGTTAGCTGTGAAGACAGAATACAGAAAAATTAATACATTTGGCACTGATAGGATTTAAGTATTTAATAAGGATTAGTATGCACAATCAAATAAGCAAAAAGTCAGAACGCTTAGCTGAAGAGTAGTTAGCCTTCATGAATCAGCACACAATAATTTGCCAAATCATGGGTTTCAGCTTACCATTTGTAGGTGCCACTTTGAGCACTGTTTGCCATTCAAAACATATAATATTGAGTTTTGAAAAGTGAATTGCTATTGTAGTGGTGTTAATTTTTGCTACTTATTTTGAAATTATTATTACCATTTATATTTTTGCCCATTTTTATTATAATATATTGTGATGTGTGAGCTACTGTGTCCAAATAATTTCCCTTGCGGATCAGTTAAGTAAGTCTAAGTCTAATCATTCATTTCTCCATACCCCATTAACATATAGTATATCTAGTTACACAAAGTGTCCAATGTTTACAAATGCTTAAGGAGGCCCCACCATAACCAAGAGCGAAAAACAGTGCGTAAAAAAACTTTCACCTAAATAATGGGCAAAAACAAGTCAAAGTGGAAGAGAGGAGATGGAAAAATCTTTTTAGTTACTGCAATGCAAACCCAGCGTCTCCCATTGCTGTCAGAAAAGTATACAGCATAGACCCAAAGCTATATGAGGTTAGCGCTATTATTTTGATATCAATCATACTGAAGTGTATCGAGGTTGAAACGGTGAGATAAGTGCCGAGTGTTTGCTTCCTGCCTATTCATTTTCCAATCACACTATATGCTCTTTTTCCTTTCACCGCAGGAATCCAACTCCAACTTCAGTAATGCAATTTGATGAAATGATAGCTCTTATAGATGTCTGATATGCCTCCTTCTCCCTGTGAATTATAGTATACAAATATGCAATACTGCCAGTGTTTATTCAACGTGTCTGATTATACAAGACATATAGAAAATAACTAAAATTGTACCAAACACACTTTTATTAGTGTTGCATATTTCAATAGCTTTGATAATAGTAGCATATCATCATCATATAAGAATGAGAGACGTTGTTCAAACTTTAAAATTCAAACTAAATGTCTGTAATGGTTACAGGCTTTGAGTTTAGTGTTGTGGCAAATTGCTTATATATTATATCTTATATGTTATTTATTTTATATATATTTTTATAACTATTCAGTTGGGGCTCTGTCATCATCTTGTTTCTATGGAGATGTCATTGCTCTGCTTCAAATGTTCCACAGTATGACATTAAACAGTTCTACCTTACACTTATTCATTACAGTAGTTTTATAGTGCAAAAATACCAAAAAAACAGGCCTTCTGACTGTGAGCGCAAGCTTGCCTCTCTCTGACCAGAAATTTTCCCTGGTTTGGTCTCCATGAAGATAGAAAGGTTGAATGCCATACTGTGAAACATTTCATTTCAATAACATCTCCATGGAGAAAAGTTGGTGGCAGACCCTCCACCAGAAAAACTGCACAATGCACCTTAATATTGTTAATAGTTTTGCTTTGAAAAGATCAGGCTAGAAAATAAAAATAGCTAACATCTTAACATAAAATGTGAGTGAAATTTCAATTTACAGTGTACAAAAGAGACATTAACGTGAAATATAGAAACATATTAAACCAACTGGTTTACCCTATGGCTGTAACTAGAATACATTCTTATTACGCACACATGATGAGGATGCCGTCAGCAGCATTCTCAATACTGTTACTCATTTACGATCCATTCGTGAAGTGAAAAAAATGAGCCCTAAAATAACATATGCAATCAGACTCCAACCTGAGAACTTGTCTTCGGGGGTATACACCACAGCTCTGCAAATTCTAATGTATTATAATAAAAGCTGTAAGGGACAGTGTTGAATTGAAAGCAATTTCCGTAACAGTCTGGTACAAAATTAAATGGAAAGAATGGCTGGAGGGGAGTGCTATTATGGATTTTGATACAAGCACAACATATTTTCTATAGAGGGAGAAAAGGTAAGGGAATACAACATCAAATAGAAAAATGGCGTCATTTTTTTAAAGATTCATTGCGGTATTGCTGCGTGCAAGATACAATGTAGAGGTGGGCCCAGCTTCAAATTGCCTGAGAAAGATAAAAGAAGCGCTAGTCGGAGTGTGACAGGTGAGATAGAGGATCAGGCACACCTTCCACTGAGCGGTGACACGATACGCTTTTGTGATTTATGCAATATAGCCATACCCAATAAATGTAATTCTGTTTCTCCGTATGGTAGCGCTGGGGAGGATTCAGCACTAAGGGGGAGAAACCACTGCCCTGGCTCTGCTTTAGAATAGACCAAAATTTGGCAATTGCTGCAGGAGTCTACGGTAAGTCTGGAGGGGCATAAAGCACTTCTTACTGACTGAATGCTAAACAAACTAGAGTTAATTTGCTTTTCATTTAAAGGGCCCATATTACAATATTTTCTGATCTATGTTATAATGTTGTTTCCTCATCAAAAACATACCTGGAGTTGTGTTTTGTTTCATTCACACATTTCACATTTAGGTAGAGTTATCCTCTCAAACAGAAAACACTAGTGATGATGACATTGGCTGTTAACTTGAGAACTACAGCTTTGAGACATTATAAGGTGGACCAGAGCATTTTGAGCTTTGGAGATGTCAAAGAACTCAAACATCTGTGAATGAAACAAAGCACAACTCCAGGTATGTTTTGAGGGGGTAACAACATTCTAACATGGCTTAAAGCTCACAAGAGTTCATTTCAAGTAATATAAGACCTTTAATAGGCTTTTTTTTGATAATTTAGTAAGTGTCACATACAACACTGCAAGATGAATGGAAAAAAAATAAAATAAAATCACACAATTAATTGCAATACACGCTTTCTAATAACTACCACTGAATTAACCTTAATAAAGCATGAACAAAAATTGTATTCACAATGGGCAAAGCAATTTTTTACTTTTCTGGAAGAGGGTATGTCATCTGCTTGTCACTGTGAAGCTGGTATTGCTTTGCCAGGAATGATGCAAAGTATGGCATTTGACTTAACTGGAACATTTCATGCAGAACAATTACATCTCCACGGAGACAAGTAGGTGGCAAATCCCCCACCAGAAAAATTACAAAGTGCACAATAAAGAATGATTCAGGCTCAGTAACTACTTAATGCCTAAACCCCTAACCCCTTAATAAAGTAGTTACTAAGCCTGAATCATTCTTAGAGGCCCCATTTTAAGATATTTTTTAATCTATGTTATAATGTTGTTTCCTCATCACAAACCTACCTGGAGTTGTGTTTTGTTTCATTCACACATTTAACACAGAAACCTGGACATTTAGTTCTTCTCTCAAATGGAAAACACTCTGTTCCACCTTGTGATGTCATGTGTTAATGCAGGAAGTGCTCCACTGTGTTTTAAAACTCCATACACCTTCTCTAGAATCATTTAGATAATTTCAGACCTTGAACTACCAATCTCTACTGAACTAAAGATAAAAGATAGCTGTTAACTTGAAAACAAGTGCTTCATTACATCACAAGATGAAACAACTGGGCATTTTGAGCTTTGGAGATGTAGACAGACTAATATTAAAGGGTTATTCAAAGATGTGTGAATGAAGCAAAACTCAAGGTATGTTTTTGATGACGTACACTCTAACATAAGCTTGAAGCTCATAAGAGTCAATTTTGGTCAATATAAGACCTTTAATAAGTTATTTCAGTCATTGTTCATCAAGGCTAATTGCAGTGACGTCAATACGAAGTGGTACCCTGTATTATTGTTGGATTTGATTCAGCTCTGTGTAAAAACGGTTTCGTTATATAAAGTGCTTGCTTTCTTCCATATGTATTACTCATACACAGCAAACCATTTACATCATATTACTAATTTAACAGCCATCACCAAGTACTCTTTTTTTATTTGTCGAGCGTCATTTCAGTTTGGCAGAGTCTTGACGAAGGCCAGTAGCGGTATGATGTGATTATTTCCCCGCTCACAGTTAGTGGGTGTGGGTATAATTTGTCTGTTTTGGGGTGTCTCTGGGTACCTCCCTGGTCGTAAACCTGAGCGGTGCGGGAGAGGCTGTGGGTGCAGGAGCAGCTGAGTCGACATTCCTGTGGGACATACAACATTCAGTTCTCCCCAGGCCAGCACCTCACCATAAAAACACACACATCTGAAAAGCATTACCTTAAGTGGATCTGTTTGGCTACATGTCATGCTAAATTACACCGCTTTAACACTTGAAATAACGCCCAAGTCTCACCACTGGCTACTAATCCAGACCCAGATTGAGGATGGCAGCTAAGTGTTTTAAAAGTGACTACTGTATGTGAGATTTCATAGAGGCAATCAACCAAATCAACAGCCTGTGTTATTTAAACATATTTAAACTCTTATTAAATCTGACAATGAACTGTTTCACAATTTTATAGAGGTAAAATATGCATGATTCGGAAAAGGTCATGGAACTAATTGTGGTAGAAGCATTAAGTCCAGTTATGTTCGAAGAGATGCCAAGCTTTTATGTAGCTAAATGGTTTCAGGTCAGTTTGAATGAACATGTGGTTTGGCTAATATTGAGAAAAAGTAGTCCAATGTGTGGTATTAGAGAAGACTAGGCAGAAAAAAGTGCCTCAACTATTTCAAAGCTTTATTAACCAATAATGTGCATCTGACACCATGAATCCTGACCCTAACTGGACTTTAGTGTTGTGGGAAAATAGACCACATCAATAAAATTACGTTGGGACACAATTTCACCTCAAGTTTTCAACACTGCACACTTTGTACTGTGCAACATGCAATAAAACCATATACTCCTTTAGTCAACATTACCCAAGACTTAAAGGCAAAATTATCCTGATTTAGTTCTATCACTGTGGACAGTTTTACCACCTTACTGCGGCAAGTTATTGCGGAAAACCATAAATGGAAACAGATCAAAATCCAATCCAATCAGGAGCTCTCCCACGATTTTGTCTTTTGTCCATTTTCTCTCACAATTTCAAATTTCAATCTGAATAGGCACTTTTTTCAACAACTCACCAGCAGTGATTCGGACTCAGTGTCTGATCTGACTTTATGTATTTGTATAATGGGAGGAGAAGAAAACAAGCTACCATTAGCCTAACGCGATCAGGTCTGGTCTGACAAGAATCCTGCCCGGAGAGAAAGGGAAGAGAACCCACAGAGGAGCTAATCCGTTCAGCAGCAGCTAATGGGAGGAGGAGAAGGGTCTGCGGTGGTTTGAGGGATAGGTTAGCGCTGGCAGTCTGCTCATCATGGGTGATTAGAGGAGGTGGAGCAGCGGGAGAGGGCTCAGTGGGAGGCTGAGAGGCACCACTCGAATTCACCGGGCTCATACTAGAACAGGAGAGCTAATGAGAGGGGCTACTTTTGGAGGTGAGATCCAGAATACAGATACACACAGAATACAGGCATGAGAGCAGAGGGACAGAGGAGAGAGTTAAATTAGGAAAAGAAATGGTTTCAGTTTATTGAATTTATCACATTTTTACATCGAATGTATATGATTACGGTGGAATTTGATATACTCGAGTGGGCATTATATAACATTTCTGGCGGAACTACTGGTTTCTATGGATATGCTGTTGTATTACCTGAAAGCTCCACAGTATGGCATTAAACTTCTAGATTTCCATGGAAACAAGCAGGGGAAGTTACAGGTCAGATCTGTGGAGAGGTGAGGAAACTCACAGTAAGAATATTTTGAGGTAATGTGTGAATACTTTTTATTATTTATTCTGATAAATGTAGTAAATGTGGTAATAGAGTAGTATATAAGTATATATTATATAATGGCAGAGTTTTGGTACTTTTTGAGGCTGTAGCAGTCCTTACTTTCTAAGTTATTCCTTGCTTGTTTGTAAATACATTTTAAAAAAATCAGTGGGACACATTATGCCTCAAAAAACTTGCCCAGATCTTGTCAATCATGACATTTTTAAAAGAAGAGCAAGTAGACTGATCTCTCAGTAGTTCCTCAGGAGATATTTTGACAACAATGTGTACACCGGAGTTATGTAACATGCGTTGTGTTTCCTTGATGTCAGAACTAAACCTCCACCATCTTCTACTCCCTCCTTCATCAGCTCCTCTGGGGGTTCATTACATCGCACAGTGTGATTGGCAGCTCCTTTGGGGGAGGAAGTTAAAATGAGACCAAAACTTTAGAGCAAACTGAAGATTCCTTTTTTTGTTGTTGTTGTAACTTGGAAGTGATAGTGTACGCTTTTCACAGGACAAACTTAGAAGCGGAGAACAAATGAGGACCACCTACAGGAAAAAGTGGGAACATTGGCATAAACACACAGCTCATCTTCTCAACTGTACTGTACACATAGAGAAATTTAGGCTTTTCACCAATTCAAGTTCAAAGGACACTCAAATCCCATGTTATTCAAATATTTTATCCCCACTACAATCTCTTCAATCTGTAAATATGCCAGTCATGATGTATGCTTCTCCTCAGCAGTCAGAGGTTTTGTTTGGACAGATGAGAGCACAGATATATATACAGAGAGAGCATCAGGAGGGTGAGGAGGAGTTGGCTGGGGAGAGGGAAGGCTCACTCACAGGCAATGCGGACGTGGGCTTTGCGGCTTTTGGTTGTTCCAGCTGAGCTCCAGGCCACACACTGACACCAGAAGTCCTCAGGGCCAAAGAGCTCCTCCACCTGCTGCCGGGTGATTTCGATGCTGGCCTCTCGCACTACCAAACCTGAAAATAAAAAACAACAATGGATTCAGAAGAAATGAAAGTCCAAATATGGCTTTACTAAACATATATACAGTTGATTTGAGCAGTGCACCTTTAAAATGCTGTAAAGCCTGTCATGATGAAAAAAAATTAAAAAAATTGAAGTGAGATATATTGTTAAACTAAATATAGTTGATATTAAAACCAAACCAAACTGCAGAATCACCCCTCTCAAAATATTCTAAAAGTATAACATTGTTATAAAAAGATGAGCTTCCACACTTTGGTAGCTAGTTTGTATCTATAATGAGTCATAGAAGTTCATAATTTAATCCACTACTGCTCAAGTCTCATCGTAGTACAGAAAAATAACCAAACCTTTCCCACTAGAGCAAAGAGAAAATCCTTGATAAATACTGACCCCCCAAATTGATTGTTCCATCCATGTATTGAACTTGATATAGTAATTATCATGGCAGGCCTATAGTCAAACAAATTATTTTATTGAGATTATAAATATTTAATACATAAAAGCAGAGTTGAAAGGGTCTGGGGTAAGAGTTGGGAGTTGGTTTGAGAGTTGGGAGTAGAGTTCAGTTTAAACAGACAATACACTATTTATTAGTAGTTTTTGTATAAATATTTGTATTTGAATGAACTCCTGTAATCTTCTGATCTTGTCAGTGCAGTTTGGGCAAGATACTGGGTCTGAATAAATAGAAACGTAATCATTTTGAGAATTTTTACCATCACAACACGTCGTCCCCTTTTAGTCGACTAACTGACACACAAGGCAAGTCTTTAGTCAACCAAGAATTTATTTTGCTGTTTAAAGCCCTGGTAAATATACATCAGCAGTAGTCAATGCCCAGAGCCAGTTGAGCACTCAGCACGTTGTAATGATATTAGCTTTCGGGTATGAGATTTTATGCAATTAGATGACTCAAGTCTAAACATACTGGAACTATCAGAGGTGAGTGTGCTCTGCCTGGAGGGTAGACACTACAGCTGGCACAAAGAGAAGTGTGTCTGCTAATCTGTGTCCTTGGTACAATAAGGCTAAATCTGCTCTGAAGTGAGGCACTGGGGAGCATCTTGTTAGGCTATAAACTAGACACCTGTGGCTAGAAACACAAAAGCTCTCCCTCACTCAGGCTGGGCTCTATGGTGCTTAATATACTGCCCACACTCTACTGTAGTCAGACTGTGGCCTCTCACAATAGCAAAGAATACACACTTAGATTTTTTTGTCTCTTGTGTGGTCCATGTGAGAAGACACTGTGCATCCATGGGTGAAATGATGAAAAACGGGAGGGAAATGGGAACGTTGCCATAGCAGTTAGTTAACAAAATATTATTTGAATAGGAAAAAGTCCTCAAAATGTTGCATTTAACACAAAGTTGATATTGCTTTAAAGCATAAATGTCAGACAATGGCACAATGTTTTTTCATAAAACTATGGAAATGTTTTACTTACATTTCCTTTAATTCAGCAAACCTATTTATTACACCAGTTTATTTTATGTTGTTAATGATTTTACAAAAAAAACATGAAACTGTTTTTTAATATACAAATGATTACTGCAGCTATCTCTGCTGTGCTGTCCATTTGCATGCTTGTGTCTCTGCTGGATTTCTCTGGTGGAGCAGGACTGTTTGGGCCTGGGCCTTGTGGGGCAGGATTGTGAGTCACACTGAACACAATCCTATTTGCTAACTCCTCTGATTACTGCTCATCTGGGCGCCAGCCAGCAGCAAACAAACAGTTCATCCCTCGACAAATGCCTCTATCCACAGCTGCCCCTCTCAAGCCCTGCACAATACAGCCTCAGTCTGTGGATGCATGTCTTTGTATGAGTGGACATGCAGAGAGGATATGGATTGTGGATGTTGAATTGTTGTCATTGAGCTAAGGGTGAAGTACATGCTGAATTTCTCTTTAATAAATGTATGCTCTGACACTGTTCAAAAAACTCACAGCTCAAATATGCTAGTGCTTGTGTGCATTTGTATTTTATTTTCTAACAATATATCACAATCAAATCAAAATTGCAATCTCAGTTGGCTGAGTTCTAAAATCTCAAAAGCTGCAGTCATTTAGATAATAAAGTATCTTCTGCAAAGAACAAAATACCCTGTGTTCTTATAGAAAAATCTCCTGAAGATTCTTGTATTAGTTTATCAGTTCATATTCTAGCCTGGTCCTGCTCCTAGAGTTGTGTGCTCTGAACAGAATCCTATCCGCATATCTAATCACAATTGCAAAACTTGTCAGAGAAATAGCAATTCCATTTTTTCCTTAAAATCATGCATCCCCAATTCCAAATTTTATAGCATTTCAGGGGTGTACACATGAAGGGAAAACAGCCAATCCTGAGATTGTGTGAATCACCAACAAAGATAATGGCCAATTTATCATGCAAAAAAACCCTGCTTATCCATCATGTTTTTTTTCTAGATCATTGTTATTTTCACTATAACAAAATAAATACTGTAATAGTTGTTTAAATATGGAACCTATTCATAATATAAAAAATAATTATTATTCATATCCATAAATTTTTTACACTGTCAGTAGCTTAATAATTATCATGATATAACTGTTAATTGAAATTATTTTGACCATCATAATCATGACACCAGAGTTCTATACGGACCCATGCCTACATATGATACACCAGTTATAAGTCACCAAGGTACTATGACATAAAACATTAGGGGCAGACGTTGTGGGGTATGTAATATGTGATTTAACTCCAGCTTGGACTGTAGTAGTAGTAGTAGTAGTAGAAACTCATACTTACAGAGAAATAAATACGGTCTAGCTGATGTCATTTTCCAGGACATGTCTTTCCCATGAACAGTACCTGGTCACCCCTGCTTTGTGACATTTCATTTGAGTTTCTACAAGGGGGCCTTTGTGTGTTTTTAAAGAACACTCCCTCCCATTAGCCCAGCAAGACCAATGTGCACTTAACACCAGGCAGGACGCTTCCATAGATTTATGCTTGTACAGCCAGGCCACAGCTTTTCATCAGCATTAGAAAAACCGCCGTTTGTCAGGGCAGCGGCACTTTCCACTCCCTGGTTGGACACATTTGGTTGGAAAGTCTGTTGCTGGTACAGTCCTACTCACTGCATACACAAGTCAATGAGCTTTTGATGAGCTGCTATGTGCGTATGCTATCCATAACACTGACAAGCGGCTGCAGTTGTTGATGGTCTTTTCCATGAGGTTATGACAGCAAAATTAGGTGGTGCTGATATACGATGTAGCATGGACCTAACTATTAATACACTTATGCATTTAGAGAAGTTCATTTAGCTGTAGCTGTTTTGGAGTTATTTTACATCTAAAAGACATTATGCTTTTAGCTGCTATATAGTTATATTCTATGATACCCGTGACCATTATTATGAAGTGTTATGCTTTGTATTATAATATTAATAATGAGGAAAATTTTGAATTTTTGGAGCAAGGGCATCTTGAATGTAGGATTACTCAAACGTGCGTGAATCACACATTTACAACTTGTAAATGTGTGAATAAATGAGAAGGGGAAAAAACTGTACAGGACCTTTAAGTCTTCCTAGTGCACAGAATTGAGTGACACACAAAAAGTAAAAAGCTGGTAAGTCTATAACACTTGGGGAATGAATTTTTAATTTTTGTGGAAGAAGAAATGAGAAGAGCGGACATTAATTCAAGTTTCCCTTCACATAAAATCTAATTAATATCAAATTTCTAGGGCTGGCTTTGGTCGTGGTGAAGTTGCAGGGGAGTACAGACTATTGGACTTTTCCCCACTAATGAAATTTACATAGCCTAATGGCATAAATGCATTCTTATATCAATAAAAACAATAATGGTGTAAACCTGGGTCAGATTGAGACACTCAATGTATGCTTCATGTGCATAGAGCTATGGGTAAAAGAGACAAAACAAGAAATGAAGAGATGATTCAGACTCCTCAAAGAAGGACACAAAAACACCAAAGCAAGGCAGCTTCTGTTAACTTAATACAGCCACTCAGTGAATACCCTGAAACACTGTAACAATAAAAAAGAACTCTATATTTGTAATCTTGAAGTGTTATCATGTTGACGTCATGTTTGTTGCTTTGAAATAGCTTCACAGATGACTGACTCACTCCGCTCCCAATCTACGTTCAATCAGTAAATCTAATCAGAGGTTCAAATCTAATTTATTAGTCTGTGATTCACAAACTAGTCCAAATGGGCTCTCTCCAAACAAGGACTGTCGATTATATTTGTAATTATAGAGCCACTACTGCTCTTCGGTCAACTCAGGTTCATCTTAAAGAGCTTTATAGCTGAAATTTAAAGAAAAATTACATTGGCAAGCATAGTGTCTAAATATTACTGAAAAGACTAAGAAATGGCATGTGCAAAATTGTATAAAAAGAACTCCCTGGTGACAAAGTAGAGGTAGTAGTACTGGTTAGCCCTTAGACAATACTGGCAATGGTAGTAGTAGTGGTTTTGTTATGTTGTCATATTTGCAGAAGTAGTAGTGTTCATGATGGTTGTGGCACAAATAGGGATTATTAGTATGAATAAATATTGGTGAATGCAAAAATCAAGCCGGCATGCCTTTTTTTGTTTCCCCGCCGAAGTGAGTGAGACTCAGCACACAGTGATTGCAAGTTAAGAGGCGCTTGTGGCCTTTCCGTGGGGTTCATGGCCTCCTCACAGCCTCCTTGTTGTGCACACAGTGAGCACAGTGACATCCCAGTCAGCAGCTTAGCTCTCATGTAAAATGTAAGAGTGCGCCGACAGGCAGTGGAACAGCACATCTGCTGTGCCGACCCGCTTGTGCAGTAGGCGTGTGTGTCTAAGTGTGTCAAAGAGAGACGCCATTGTTGGTTTGGAGGATGTCAGGGCTGGGAGAGGGTCTGGGCGCACTTCACAGGCACACAGCAAAATCAATAGTCAAAACAAAAAGTAGATTTGAAAGCTCTGAGGGCACGGAAAGCATGCCAGAATCAGTTTTTGCTTTTGGATGATAGATACTTTGTTGTAGGTAAATGGTGGGAAGTAGCTACCAAGCATTAATCCTGATTTCAGTTTATAAAAATGCTTGCAGCTATAACATCATCAGGAAAATATGGCCTACACCGCACTTTCAAAGAGAAAACAAAGAATGAGAAACTTTTCTTCTTTGCATCTCTACAATGTAATCCAGGATGACAAACCTATCAGAGTTCATCATGACTTCATTCCCACATTTGAAGCAGGATTAGACTCTTCCTGACACATGTCCCTCCAACATCACAGAGCTCAATCTAGCAGAAGATCAGTGGTGTGGGTCCGCTTACCTCATCTATGACCTCATACTATGTTTTCACAGCCAACAGACTTAGACAAGTGTATAACCTTTCAGAGACACAATGCCAACAATGAACAAAACAGAAATAGAAATGACACCTCATTTGTAATCTGTAACTCCCAAAGTAAGTCTCTGGAGCGGTGATGAGGAGCTACTTTACGGCCTGTCAATGTGGCCATTAGCTGCAGAAATGATTCTACAATATGTCCCATTAACAGTGACTGAAGTGAAGTCGGGGGCCCCTAGTTGGAGATGATTCATTATTAATGCGGTCATTAAAGTGAGCTAGGCTAGCTCTTCCAATGCTAGCCCCGTCCTGGAGATATTGATCACAGCAGCAGAGGACGAGGTGGTCAGAGGAGGAGAGAGAGAGAGAGAGCGCTGTGATCATCGGGCCAGAAGATACGTGCTCCTGTTTGATCATATCTGTAGGAGAGTGACAAGCAGTCTCTGGTGAATAGTAGATGGGCAGATTAATTAATTTGCAGCTCATTTACGAGGATCAATGCCCCTTATGTTCACAAGGGACTGTAACCTGCATAGGAGATATTTGCCATTTTGTTCAGGTAGAATAAGCGCCTGAGGGGGTATGACAGTAGAGGATTAAATACAACACTCCATCATGTTTTTCTCTTCTTCTTCTCAAGTTTTGGGCATATTATACTCAAGTCATCAGTGGTCAAGTGTCTAACTTATCTTAATAGTGTAGTCCGTGTAGGCCTGACATTGTAAAAAAAAAGAGTATATTATATTATTATTATCTATGAGATATTAATCTTATTATATTATAATATTAAACTAAATAATGCCACTGACACAATAACCATAAAATAGAATTATGACAAAAAATATTCCAAATGTACAATGTACAGGATTGTTAATGAACATGACCTGTAATAAATGAATGAAACTTTTAATGGAGTCTGAGAAGTTATTTATTCAACTTTTTACAGCTCAAATCTTAGAAACACACCAAAAAGTCCCCCACTAATACAAAGAAAAAGTATCCTCGATAAATAGTGACACCCCCCAAAAAATATGGCACCATCTATCATGTACTGAGCAATAAATTGATATAAGAATTAAGCTGACAGACCTAAGTCTGTGTCCAGTCAAAATAAAGACATTAAGGGGAACATGAGAAACCAGAAAACAGTTTATTGCTATTGTCAGTTGCCAGTTGTCTTCAGAGATATGATGCAACATAAACCACAGAATAATAATAGTAAAAAAATACAAAATAAAATATCAGAATATTTATAAAGTTAAAGACATGAATGCAAACTAAGCGTTGCGAGGATTATGTGAGAGACATGTTTCATTTGGAGCCTTCTATGACCCTGATTCGTGGGGTATTTGGGTTCTAATCAGGATAGTTTTGTCATATACTGTATTATCCCAAACATGAGTCCAGCATGTGAGATTTATCTTAACACTTTGGACACATGTTGTGAGGCCGTGTGCTATGTGGAACTTTCATAATCTGCCCTGGGCACAACAAGAACACACATATTTACTGAGCACCGGACAAAACACAAACAACATGCAATCAGTGGGCCTATTCTTTTATAACAATGTGTCCCTTAAAACAGTAATGGGCAGTATAAAAGCACTTGGAAATCAGTGCTTGCAGCCATGCTAGCCCCATGTGGCCCACTTTAGACCACATTATTCTGATTATGAAGTTTAAAATGGAAAAATGTGCCATACTGTAGCGTTCAGTGTCTATCAGTGTGTTCCAATTTGCATACTAATGTTCCTACATGTTCAGTTTAAGTGCTCAGTTATAGAAGAAGACGTGCTTTACTCATAGTTTCAGCGTACTTATGTCATGAAAGTCACCATTATACTCTATACTATAGTTAAGTCACAAGAGAGACTGAGAGGAAATAAGGACAGAATTTTTCTTGGTCCTAACCTAAGCTCCTATAGCCTAGGATACTAAACTATGCAAAACATTATAGGATACTACTAGACAATGGTGTTGAACAACAAATGAAGGAAAATACAAAAATAATAGTTTTGCAAGTATATTTTTGTGTTTTTTTCTTCTTTCTTGTTGATTTTTTGGCTCATAGGCTTAATTGGATAGGACATACATCATGAAATCGTGCACAGCGATCTATTTCCCATTTCCTTTTTAAATAAAAAGACACTTCATATAACCTGCATCTTTGATAAACAGAAGTAGTGACTAAAAATCCTAAGAAGAGAAAGATTCTATTTCTCCAGGATACACTATCAGGAGTATTGACCAGGTTGGCCACTTTCTATATGTGTTTCCTTATTTGTCAATGTGCTGGAATCAGAGAGCAACAGAGTGGGCTGTGCTGGGTTACAGACTTGTATGCTGGCTCTATGTGTGTATGTGTATGAGCGTAAATGAATGAATAGTGTTTGGTAAATAGCCCGTGGATAAGGCAGTGGGGAGTGGGAGAGTTTATGATGTGTGGGCTGATTTTCTGTTGATGCTTTTAGCGTGGAACCTTTTGCCACTAAAGCTAAGAGCCAGTGCTCCCTTGCAACCTTCTCTTTGTTAATATCATAACAGCCAAACACAGCTCTGATTGTGTATTCTCTCTGAAGTACATCGGGTCAAAATGGAAGGAGTTCAGGTTGGATTCAAGTTGCTTTTAAATAGCTGTTTCCTTCTGAGCTGGCAACAACCATCAGCTTTTTCTATTTTCTTTTGCACATTACATTTTATACAAGATTCCTTTGATGTTGTGTTTCTTATACAGATCATTGACCCTGTAATGCAGCGCTTACACTGCATTGTGCATTTAATACAAGCTGACACGTTAATGCTTACTAATCCTCAAAGCAGCAGACTTATTCTATGGGTGCCTACATGTTTTAAGCCAAGGCTTGGATTTGCCAGTCTGTTGGCATGCACAACAGTAGCAGGACTGTAAGACGAAAGAGGTAACTGCACTGTGATCTCTACCTGTGGTGACAAACGGAACTCTATTTCAAATACAGCAACTGAACTCAGCCAATCAACACTGGGTTGTGGAGTGCTGGTCCATTCAGTGGAACACAACTCTGCAGGAGATTCTTGAGCCCTAAATACTCCAAATTATGCACACTTCTCACTACATGAAGACTGCATGCACACTACAATTCAATAGCCTGTACTATAATAGTTAAGTGGACTCCTGATGTGTCCATTAGCAGAATATTACTATTATTAGTAATTGCTTACATCTGACTTGCTTTTGCAGAAAGACAGAAAAGGCATGGGGCCAGATTTGTTTAAAGAAAACACTTATCATGCTTTTTTGGTAGTGGCAGTCACAAATGTTGATCACTATTTTACATTTTGTTCATTGAAAACCACTGCAGTGATCTAAAGAGACAGGTTCACTGACTTCCTGTTCAAAATTGCAGAACTGCAGGTCCTATGTCTACAACCCATAGTTTAAGCAAGTGGGATTTTGTGGGAATTTTGTCTCTTTCACAAATTCAAACTATATTGTGATATGGTATGAGCAAACAATAGTCCACTGTATGGTATGCAAGGTAAGAGTCAGGCAAAGACATTAGCAAGAGCTGACATGCTATTTTAATGTACCAATTACAGCATAAATAAGACCATAGTTGCTGAGATGTGCACTTACTACCCAGCCTTTAATCAGAATGAGAAATAAAAGCTTTAAGTTGAGCAATGCAAGTAATCAGAGAAAAAGAAAAGTGCCAAGAAGAGGTAAAGTAGTAGTTAAAACGTACTTCAAACTATCTTGTCTTTAACTTGTTGACACCATTGAGGGGAAAGATGCGTATGCACAGTAGATGACAATACATTTGAGACACTGACCCGAGTTCTCATCGACACGCTCCTCCACCGTGTGCTCCTTCTGGTGCACCCACTCGCTGTTGCACTTGAAGTATATCTGTGTGGCAGGTGTGGCCTTGCAGTAGAGGTTCACCGGCTTGTTCTTCACGATGTAGGCCTCCTCTGGCTCCATCAGGAACACTGGCAGAGGCTCTGGGGGGTCTGAGGGGAAGGTCTCTGGCAGTTCTCCAAGGCCTATGAAGTCATCATCCACCGGAACTGTAACAAACAACAGAACATACCAACCATCAAAATAAATCTGTATTTCACTTTAATTTACACTGTTGCTTGCCACATGAAATCAGAATGAATATATGAGACTGATTAAAAAAAGAAATTCATTGGGGAAATATCTAATTACATTTAACAGGAAATTACTGATTATACTTTTTTTAAAACTTTATTTATTTATTTATTTATTTATATTTTTTTTTGAGCAAAATTGTGGCATCTACACTCTAGTTTAGTGTAACATCTAACATCTGATCAAAGGTATAATACTCCCTACAACAGAAGCACATCCAGAGTTGCCTATAAGTAAATAGCATCTTCAGAAGTGAAAATGTAGATTCAACTGTCCAGCCACTCCAAAACCCCCAGCCAATTCACTGCATGCATTCTCGTTCTGTTGTACATTTAAATCCTCATAATCCCTAAGATTTCAACAACCAGTTAATCAACTAAACAAGTAAAGGCCTACAGCCCTAGGAAAATCACTTTATACTGATATCCCTGTCAAAACCTTTTGCAGCTTTTTATGACAAGAAGCGCAGAGAACGCAGGGTATAGAAAGAGTGACAACTGTGATATTTGCAACGGATTATCTATTCGCACAGCACACCAAATTCCCAAATATCTGATATTTTGGAATGTTTACATAAGTGAATCGTGGAGATTATGAAAGTCTGGGATTCCTGTCATGGATTTACAGAAAGTGGTCCTTCTTGGGTCTAACCACCAGCTACTGCAGCCAATAATGAGAATGGAGTTCGGAGGTTGACTGTGAGGATCTCAAGTTATAAGCTGGCCTCTTCTTTCCAACATTTTCACTTTACTTTTGTCTTCTGAACACACATGCACGCACACACGCACACACACACACACACAGACACACACACTAAGCAGCACATCTAATGACCTAAGGCTTTTGGCCCAGTTTGTGCCATTCCTCGGATACTTCTGCAGTCGAAAGATACGCTTCCCTGTAATTACAAGTCGCTTTCATCTTCCTGTCTTAAATCACACGCACACACAAACATGCACCCAACACGGGGGGCACACACACAGCCAAAAGCCTCATGCGCAACTTTAGAACTCTTTGAAGAATGAAGAGAGAGAGGGCGATGAAGACTATTGGCCAGCCCATTTGTCACCTCAAGACCTGTTCTATTCTTGCCATCGAACCGGTAGGCATCAATTATTCAGAAGTGTGAAAGACAGAGGTAATGGAGACAGATGAGAAGAGTGCGGAGGACAGCGAAGCACAGAGGAGTAACTTATCCACGGACACAGACTGAGATGGACAGGGACATAGGGCAGGAGGACAGCCACAGGAACTAGCCCGATAACAAAAGTCTTATCAGTCAATCAGTGGGTCTTTACATGTCCTTCAATCTGCAGCCTCCTGACCGGTGTGGACATGTTGGAGCCTTGTTGTCTGGTCCACCTAATCTCGCAGATTAAATATATCCATGTAACGTTTTTAGAAATGGAGATATGTAAGGGTATTGATGTCTGCCCGTTGTTCGAGTAATGTAAGAAAGCTAAAAATTAGAAAGCGAAATTCTGTTTGGAGATGTAACGTCTCTTTGAAGCTCTATCTTTTGCCTTACAGAACAAAATTATGATAAAAATGTACATCCAGTAGATTATACTATACACAATGTGCCTGCAGCTTTAGTATATTGCCATTACTACTAATAATAACCATTCTGAAGCACATCGAGACTGTACTACATTCTTCTTCTCAGTCATTTCATAATATTTAAAGGTCCTGTATTACACAAAATTGACTCTTGTGAGCTTGTAGCCATGTTAGAATGATGTTACCTCCTCAAAAACATACCTGTAGTTTTGTTTTGTTTCATTTACACATGTTTGACTAACCCTTTATTACTAGCCTGTCTATATCTCCAAAGCCCAAAATGCTCTGTTCAAACTTGTGATGTCATGCAGGGGTAGTTAACAACCATCTTTAAAATGTGTTTAGTAGAGATTGACAATTAAAGGCCTGAAATTATTCTAGTGAAGGAAAAGTTTACAGAGGAGCACTTCCTGTATTGCCACATTTTTTTCCGTTTGAGAGAAGAACTCAGTCTAAATATGCAGGGTTTGGGTGTTAAACATGTTTGAACATTATAACAGCTCAACCAGGTCTTTGTGCATTCTCGGTGAGTCTATATTTATTCCATTTTGATAGTTACAGTTAAATAAGTTGTATCATATGACTTCCTCACATAACCAATGTTTATCACCTCATCGCTCATTCTCCCATGTCCCTCTATCTGATGCTTCCCTGGCAGTGTACACAGACCAGGGCCCGGCTGTCACACAGGTGGCCTCCAGAATCTCCACAAGCACTAAATACTGTTATCTCTTCCCTCCATACCGACGGGCGATCTGACATGAGGAAATGAAAGGGTCACCGATGATAAAGTCTTCCAAAATGTTCAAAGGGGGCACTGTCTCCTAGAGAGGGCTGTCTAGAGTGCTTTGCTGGCTTTGTGTGGCTTTTTAATCAGACTCCAAATGCTCTTCAACAGTCCTCTAATCTTGGCTCTATAGCAACCTCACGACCTCTCAAGGCAACAGCTACATTACACTTTTGAAACAATATCAACTTTATCGCTTTGGTGTTTTGATATCTTTCCAGTGTTAGAGATGGAAATGCAATTTGAAAAAAAAAATCAGACGTTTCCTTCTGTACAGCATATAGACTGATGGACATGATAATTACTATATCAATATACGAAAGCTGGAACAATATTTTTTTGCTGTCAATATTTAGTGTGAACATTTTCTTTGCGGGAATGTTGTGGTTATTTTTTGGCTATATGATAAGATTTGAGCCTTCAAAGGTTGCATTAATAACTTCTGTAACTCATTACAGATGCAAACTAACTACTATAGTGTTTATTCAGCTATTTATTTATTGCAGGTTGTGGTTTCTTAACATTATTGTAGATTTAGAATAGTTTTGTGATATAAATCCGGTCTTAGGCTATTGCATCAGTTGCATAAATTACTTTCAACATTATCATTTATTGTCCATTTATTTCATTTTATTGATAGGCCTAACAACATAGCTTACTAGTTTCAGAGATCTGTGAAAAAAATGCTATGTGAATGTTGTTAAATCAGTAAATATAACAAAAGAATATTAAGTACATATTTTCAAGATTTCTTTTCAAATAAGAAGTTCTGAAACAAACAGAACTGAGCCCAGGGCGCTCACTTACTTCTGCATATTTTTCTTACACGTGGTTATAACTGGCTGGGACCTATTGCAACTAAGGGTCTAGACCAGCTATTAAAATCATTGTGGTTATGATTCATCTTTATACAACCAGATATTAACTCCATCCACAAAAACATTAAACAAAACTCTTTATCAATATGAAATAATCTTGGAAAGTGGATTCTAAGTCCTGCTCTGTCCTGTAGTTTACATTCTGAGACTATCCGATGCCTTGAGAGAAGTTTATGGACTCGTTTTTGCAACCTTGTATGTTTTTGCACGTCACCCAGTCCGCTATAGCATGTGATGACTCTTTAATGTAAAAGTCTTTAGCAGCAGACCTTGGAACAGCTCGTCTCCTTTCTGTGCTGCTAGTCCTCAGTCCACCCACATCCTCAGCCGGAGACCCTGACCCAGAAAACAGACAACCAGCGCCAAGGAAACTCATTAAAGCTAGAGTTAGCCTTCCCTCACCCTACATTCCTATTATCACTGCATATCTCCCAGCTTCTGCTGCGAGCCCTGTCGAACTGTGATCTCAAAATGCGCTCAAAAGAACAGCTTCATAAACCACACACATTGATAAAGTTAATACATGCCGACTCACACATACTGAAACTCAAAGTCATCAACTGAGAGGAAATAATACATGCAAGTCAATAGGACTAGCCCTCTGGTGAAAATGAAAAAATGAAAGAATGTAGTTCTACCAATCAAAGGCTGCTCCCCGGTGAACAGACAAAGGGAACTCAAATAGAAGAATGGCTTTTTAGTGGCGCTGTATCTTGCAATGCACAAGATAAAGAAATGGCGATCATTTTTTAAGTTGATGGAACTGTAAACAATAATCTAATCCTGTTTGAGTCTTCTAACTTGACGTCACAAAAAATACTGTTCTCAGCCTTGTTTAATGCCATTCCCCATATAGAGAAATGAACTTTATGGTGATGCTGTTTGTTGTAACATCATGCATAAAACTGAACTATAATAGTAGTTATAGAGGCGATAGTAGTAAATCTTGTGGTGAAAGGAACAGGAGTCATATGTGTGAGTCAGTAGTGGCTACAAAGCACAAATGAAAGCCCCAAAACAGCATTTTATGTTAATAGAAATTCAAATCTAATTTAGCAACAAGTGATTAGCATAGCATCACATATTAAAACCGCCTGCAACACTTATTTTCACAGCCTTGTTTAGAGTCATTTCATTTTAATAAGTCCGTTAATTTGACACACATTCACTGTCTGATATGAAGCATGGGTTTTATGAGTATTTTGCAATTTAGTTTTCCTTAATTTTAATCAGACAATTTCTACAATTGCCTTCTCATTGACTGGTAAAATTTTAATGAAGTGCGTGGTATCTGCTTAGAGCACTACAATTGAAATCATATTTTGCTCAGTAATTGGTATGAGTTTTTGTAATTAATGTTATAAGTCTTATTGGTAAAAGTGTGTAATTAATATTTTAGGCTATAAAAGTAACCTATTTTAGATTTGTATGCATATATCAAAACATGTTTATTGAGTAATAGGGATTAACTATGAACTCAATACCCAAATATTCAGAAAATAATTTTTGCAATTAATAATAACCTCTGAAAAACTAACCATTTTTAAGATGAACAGTGTGACATTTCTAGTGGAGGGTCTGTCATTTGTTTGTTTCCGTGGAAATATTATTGTGATGGATAAAGTTATCTAACACAAAACTATTTCTACAAGAGGGACAAGCACAACACTACATTACGAGTCAGACCTGT